TTTTCTACTCACAAATATACCTTTTTGAAGGTAGGTATACTCGTACTCGTGCTGTCAAAAAGCATACAACGTCGCCAAGAAGAAAAGTAGGTTAGTTCTCATATTATACTTTGTCAACTCGCAGTATACACATCTAGCTTCGGATTCGTGTACATTTTTACGGCATGAGAGCCTCCTTGATAATGAACGAGGCGAATCCTGATCCGAATCGGCTGAGAAAGAGCTTCGATTGGATTATGAGATGCCGGTGGGATTCAAGGGTCGATATCCTGAGAAGGAGATCTATTTTAGGTGAAGGGGTTTGTAATTTCACATCAAGTTTCGAAATTCGATAGTTTGGGGGTGGCGAGGGATTAGATCAGGTTTATGAGATTTGGTCTTGATTTTTCTTCTTCTCTGGTACAGTTTCTATACATACAGGATTACAAGGCAATAATAAAGAACTCTACGTTGATGGGATGATTGATATTCGCTTCGACGAATCCAATACATCGACTTCGGGACCGGAACTATACAACCGCTTTAAAAAGCTAAATCATCTAATATGAAATTATGGAGTTATTAGATGAAAGGAATGATGAGGCGAAGATAGAAGTCTTATGCGAGTCCGAGTTGATCAGTTCCGTGACGAACCACGTTATTTGTGGAGTCAGAAAGACTAAAAGTACCTAGGTATGTACAAAGCTCCGCCGCTAATAAACTTAGGGCTCCATCAAGACGAAAATACTAGGATCTCAAACTCTCCGTTCCCTTCTCAAAATTGTATATATTAAATAATTGCGTAAGTATCTTCAATTGATCTTCCGTACTTGTATAGGAATAGAAATATGTGAAAGTTTATTCTCCATTAGATTGTTGAATCTCTTCGATCAAAAGTCTCATCATATCAATTCTCATCGCCATTTGACCATGCAATAAAGGTGTGATCACACCCTTCAAGATCATGATCTTGAAAGATGCTTGATCTTTGACGTGTTTGATGTTCCGATTTTCCCGTCTTGATCACATGGTGCCGGGTTCCTAGATAGTCAATTAGCCCTCTTGTTGAGTGCGTCTTGCGGTATGTGCATTTAGGTTCGGGGGATCCATACTTCCTTAGCAAGACAACTTGGACAAGTAGATAGTTTTGAATTTTGATAATGGAAATAATCGCTGCTAATCCTCCCACACGGCTTGATGTGGACGGTGGAGACGTCATCTCATTTCCTTGCTGGTACTTGAATTTCGAATCGAGCGGTGTTGAAGGATAAACCCCTATCGAACTACATGGGCCCTAGCTTAGCTTAACCTGCTTTGGCATTTTCTAGTTTGCCTAATTGAGCCAACGTACTTTTTCTCCCACTTCTGAAGATTGATGGGATGAACTTTTCGATTTTTGAACCTTTCAACTTTTCTGACCGGTTGTCTTTATTTTCTCCGGAGTTTGCACACAGGTTTGGTAGACAGGTCCGTCACCGGGTATGGAATGGTAAAACTGGGGTACATTAGTACCCTGTAACTTGCATGTTTCCCCATTGTGTTCCCAAGCCACATACCATAAATTACCCGACTCTTCGGGCTGCATGAATCATTTGCCGCTTCGAATTGTTTGTATATGGGAATTTATTTTGTGATACCTAGCTGTGCCCTGGGTAGCTAGAGTCTAGAATAATGGGAATACCAACCTTTCTTTTCTATATAACAAATTTAGTAGTTTCATTTGTAGTTGAATTATGGTTCTAATTTAATCGGAGAGATGGATAGTGGTTCTCATTTCCGATGCCTCTTTTCTTTTGTTCCCGAGTGCCCGAGTCTTCCTGCACGCTCACCCCCCACAGATTTCTAGTCTTTGAAACACTATCGACTACCACCTTAATCTTTTGGGCCGCCCCACCACACGTGTGATTGGAATCATTGGATCATCTGAGATTAAACAATGCGAGCCAAGATGGAATATAAAGAACACGGAATATTTCTGGGGCACACGTGGTAGTTGCAAAGTCCACCGGAACATTTACAACGGACATTATTTTTGTTCGGCAGATAGGAGAACCGTTAGGCTAAAAGGGGGAACCCTGACCATAGGTGGGATTACTTTTGGACTGTAGAGTAAAAAGCACTCTGACTTTGTAGGAGGGCATAACAAGTAGCGAAAGTGGATAGTGTGAAAGGATTAGAGGAAAACATGGAAAGGTTCGACGAGCTTACCCTCAGGGGTAGGGATACTATGGACCATAGCTAAGCCAAGATTTCTATTCCATGCAACGATATCAATCAGCCGCTTGGTGCAACTTGTTCGTACTGTTGTATTCCGTGTACCCAGGAATACTCCTGAAGAATTTCTATAAAGCCATCTCTTAGCCATCTCTTAGCTATCCCTTGGCCAGCTCTGTCCTCAAGCACTTCTTCTCACATCCTTCTTGGCTATCTTAGTTGATCATTCTAACAGCACCATCATGCCTTCCACCAAGTCCATAGCAGCTATGCTGCTCTCCGCCATGACATTGGCACCCGCATTGGCTAACCCTATTGCGGCCCCAATGCCAACCGCTGCCCCAAGCCCTGTCGAGGTTGAATCTGCCTTTGTCGAGCGCAACATCGAGAAGCGTGCTGCAACCTGTACCTTCAGTGGCTCTCTCGGTTACTCCTCCGCCAGCAAGTCTAAGGCATCATGCTCAACTATCATCCTTAAGGAATTGACTGTCCCCGGTGGTGTCACTCTTGACATGACCGATCTCCCTGATGATACTACCGTCATCTTCCAAGGAGAGACATCATTCGGCTTCAAGGAGTGGGAAGGACCACTTTTCGCCGTCAGTGGAAACAACATCAAGGTCGCAGGAGCTAACCGCGACACTGCCATTCTTAACGGAAATGGCGCTTCTTACTGGGACGGTGAGGGTGGAAGCGGTGGCAAGACTAAGCCAAAGTTCTTCCAAGCCCACGACTTGACCGATTCGCTTATTGAGACTCTTACCGTTCTCAACCCACCTGTTCAGGTTTTCAGTATCAACGGTGTTTCGAACCTTGAATTGGCTTACATCACTGTCGATGCTTCCGCTGGTGATGCTTTGGCCAAGAACACCGATGCTTTTGACATCGGTTCTTCCGACACTGTTATCATTGGTATGTTAAATCGAGATGCCTTCGACCAGTATTAATGCCGTACTAACTTATTGCACAGAGTACGCCACTGTCTACAACCAAGATGATTGCGTTGCTGTCAACTCTGGAAGCGTATGTCCACAATCCACCATGCTCCTCATTCTCCCCAACCCCCACTAACATGGATATTCAGCACATTACCTTCAAGAATGGGTACTGCTCGGGTGGCCACGGTCTTTCCATCGGATCAGTAGGAGGACGCTCTAACAACACCGTCGATAATGTCTCTTTCCTCGACTCCACTGTCACCAAGTCCGTCCAAGCTATCCGTATCAAGACTATCGCCGGTGACACCGGTGTCGTCAGCAACGTCAAATACGATGGCATCACCATGAGCAGCATCTCCAAATACGGTATCCTCATCGAGCAAAACTACAATGGTGGTGATCTTCACGGAGATCCTACCAGCGGTATCCCCATTAGCGGCTTGACCATCAAGAACATTGTCGGTACCGGCGCTGTCGCCTCTTCCGGATACGATATCGTTGTTGTCTGCGGTAGCACCTCTTGCAAGTCCTGGACTTGGTCTTCTGTTGCCGTTACTGGTGGTAAGAAGTACGCTTCTTGCCAGAACGTCCCAACTGTTGTTGGTGCTTGCTCTTAAGCGATCAATAAGAAGGATTCTTGACCTTTTTAGCCGAAGATCATTTTAAGCTAGATGGAAAGTTGAAAGATGGAGGACCCCTTTTAGATTCTTTGATCTGAGTTGTACATATTATATTCTCTTCGCTATATATATTTGGAATTTTATTTCTTCAACTATATTGTCATTTATAAGTGTCTTGAATCAGTAACAGCTGTGCTTTGTAAGTTTTGATCATGACCTTTGTGGTAGACACGAATGCAAAAACCAGTGCTCAGACCCCAGTGCCAAAGTGTTCTCCTACCTTTGAATATCCTATGATGGTGAGCTCATCAAGCAGATGTGTAACCTGAATGTTCGTAGTGTGGTCTTTAAAAGTAGCGTTGCGTACACGCCCTACAATATTGTAAGTCTCAATTATTTTGGTAACCGTAAGTTTATACACTGTGTGTAGTAATATCCCACATTCCAAGACATCCAGCATCGTCACCAGGAGCAAGATAGGGCTTTGAAGCACCGAGTCTCATTACACGTAATTATGGCTCTTCATCGACAAAATTGACGATATACACAAGACTCTTAGAGACTGAGAAATGATCACATGATTGTTCTCGCCTGGCCGGATCTTCCATCTGTTTGTTGCATGGTAGTCGAGGTTGATGATGCTCCATCAGGTGTGGCTCCTTTGGCTCAAATTAAATGGCGGTGAATCGATGACACGCGTCTAAGCTCCCCGGCGCGGCACAGTCACGTGTTTGGGCGTAAGTAGAGTTCATGAGCCCGTGCGGCCCTAGAAATCTCACGATCATCCCCCTAGCATTTATTGTTACTTCTGAATTGAATCTAAACCGACCTTTAAGTTTTTACCTTGATCTCTATTTTCGTAGGTATCATATACCCCTTGTTAGTTTTCTTTGTCTTCCCTGCTTTCAAGCTTCTCTATTGCAAAGTATAATCTGCTAGAACTCGTTCTTATCTGGGTGGATGGCAATGGGAGCAGAGAGCGCGGGTAGGGGGTTCATCTCAATACGCTTCTTTATCTTTTATTTCCTCTGTCGCAATCTGTCTAATATCTATTTTATAGCCTCAAAAATTACCTAGATTAAATTACTGTCTTTGTATTCAAAGAGATTATAAGAAAGGAAAAGAACTCAAACTCCCCTCCATCTAGGTATGTACTACTTTGACAAAAAAGGTTAAAAGGGAAAAAATGAATTATTTAAGTTATATTTGGGACTAAACTCCTGACTCTTCGTCAATCAAGTCCAAAATGCTATTTCTTCAATCCTCCTACGACTCCAATTCTCTCTACCTCCTTATGCTCCACACTTCCCGCCGTGCAACCTGCTAAAACTCTTTCCCACTCCCCTACATCTTTAATTTTCACACATTCCTCTGCAGCCTTTACTCTCATCCCGCACTTTTCCCAAAGTTCCACAATCTCCTTTCCTTTAACTTCACCTTGCGCTCTTATCTTCTCCACAAAACTCCCTGCCAATTTTTGATTTCCAGCATTCAGGATAAGTGTATAGAATGGCAACCAGCCGATTGGAGATTTGCGATTTTTAGATATTTCTTCAAGAGCAGACCAATCGCGTTTTGAGACAAGAGCACGGAGACGTATCCATGTGGATGTTTTTTCCGGCATTTTAAATTCTGTGGTGAGCTTTTTGGCACGAGAAGTGTAGCCTAGTTTTATCAATTTGAAGAGTGTTTCGTTTAGGGAGAGACCTGTAAATGATTCTGTGAGGTCGCGGTCAAGAGATTCTTGCATTCTCAAAAGTAGAGAAGCTTCGTGGAGAGCTTTGAGCTCGAAAGATGTTTCTTTGGAGTCTGAGAGGAGTTTTGCAGCAAGTGCGAGTTTGTCGGATGCAGTGCGTGAGTCGGGTTGTTGGAGAGCTTCGCGGATAAAGACGTTAGCACCATCAACACGACGATCGTCTTGGTAGTAGAGATCTTTCAGAAGAGAGGAATCTTCTGTTCGTGCTGAGGATTCGACGAGGGAGGTAGCGATGGGTCGAGTGTTTATTACGCGGAAGAAGGAGGCAAGAGGAAGTGACTTTTTGAGATGTAAGAGGACGTAGATTATTAGATCTGAGTCTCCGGATTCGATGGCTTTATCAAGAGCGATTTCATCTTCTTCCATGGAGAGAAGAAGGGGTACTTGTTTTCCGGCGCGAGGTTCGTGGTTTAGGAGGGCGGTGGCTAGACGGCCGCGCCCTTCGTCGTAGGCTGCTCGGGCAATTTCTTCAAATGAGATGCCGCGTTTGCCGGAAAGTTTCTCGACAATTACGCGACAGATTGTGTCTTCATCTTCGGATCCTATACGGACTTTCTGGGAAGCCCAGTGCACGTAGATTCTGTCGGTTGGAAGTCGTAGATAATCAGAGATCTTGAGTGCTAAGAGATATTCTCGACGGTTGATGAGACGTCTAACAAGTTTTTCGGGAGTTAGGCGTAGGAATTGTTCGTATGATAGAGGTATGCCAATTTCGTAATATCGGACAGCGTTCAACACTCGGAGTGTTTCGGTCATATCTACAAAATCATCACTGTTGTAAATATCAAGCACAGATTTACCAAATGAAGCAGCCTTGAGAAGTTGTTTCTGCCAATGGATGTTGAATTCATGACCAGCTGCTTTGACCTAAATACGGTCAGCTATGAAACCGAAATTCAGTGTAAAATTACTTACACAGGTGTCAACTGCCTCAACTAAGTGAGGTCTAATCAACTGTATGTTGTCATCTGCTTTTGGAGACTGCTGCTCCAACTGCTCGACTGCATCCAATAATATCGAAGCTGGCGATTCAGTGCCGAACCGAAAGGTTTCGTCGGTTACTTCCGGTACTTTTTGCAAAAAATCACAAACATCATTGGTTATCAAACGAACGCCATCATGATCTGTTCAGTGGTTAGCTGGAATCCTAACTAACTCCAGGGAATTACAAACCAGCAATTACATGAACTCGACCATCATAATAAAATTTTGCTGCAGCATTTTTAGGGCCAATGAGATGTACTTCATCCTCCCAAGCAATAACTACCGCATCATTACCACACCATTGGACGTCTTTGGGAGGAGTTTTCGATCTGGAGTTGTATTCACTCAATCTGCTTTGGAAATCGCTCGTGATAACATATGCATTTCCTGTTTCTGTGTAAAGGGCGACAAATTTTCCATTTGGCGATACACTGATATGAGTAAAGGGTCCGATGTCTAGAAAACGATCTTCGGATTCAGCAGCGTCTGCGACGTGTATGGTTTGATCAATGCTCAGAAGAACTTCAACTGATCTGGATAATGTATATGTCGGTGGTATCAGTGTCCACGAATGAACATCGCCTTCAGGGGGCGTTGCTAGTAATTTTGGACGTGGTTCTTCATATCTAGATACCGAGATTAGGTGATTATTTGAGAGCAGGGCCACAAACCCGGTGCCGTAGAATCTATTCCGTTGGTGAGCTCGCAGTCAATCTAAATTATGTCAAGCACAAACCTGCAAGCTATCACACCAAGTTCCTCGGCACCATTTCCAAGAGAAAATTGATTAAAATCTCCTTGTAAGTCATAGTAACATCGTACTGTGCCATCAGTGGTGACGACAATAAGCTTTTCGTCTTCGGTCCAGCCGAGACCTTTAATAGAACCTTGATCCCAGTTTATTCTTCTGATCAGCTTTCCAGCACAACTGTATATATCGATACTGGATTTAGATGCTTGTGATCCTCGAAATGTTTGAAGCTTTGTTTCGTCTCGGTATAGAGCTGAATGAAGTATCATGTAAGCAAATGAAAACATCAAAGTATTGAGTCCCCATGCGTTCTTAAGTCCGTACGCTCGCAAATCCGGCACTTTCATGTGTTCAGTGGGAGCACTAGCTCTAGAGACTCTGATGGGTGCAAGCCACTCAGCAGATGAGGTCTCGCAATCTTCTAAATTGCCCCTTGATGTGATTGACTGCAGCACCCGTCGCCTCCCAGATTCTTAGAGGTTTTAGAAAGAGTAAACAGTAGAGCGACTCTAGCAAAAATAATCTATTTCCGATATCGAAAAGGAACAACGCAACGCACCAATTGCTCCTCCATATGAGCATCCCGTGACCACGTAGTTTTCAAGCTCTAGGTCCTGGTCGAATACGGCTGTATATAACTGTATCTTTCGATAGAACTTATCCCCCACCTTCTCCCATTCTGCAGTTGGACTTGTCATTTCAATATTGCTTAACTGTTCATTATAGTTGGGATGGTGATTGTTGTTGCTTCGAGTTGCTTGTTCAATCGTGAAGAGCTCCTAGTTTAAGATGTGGTCAAAGCTTGACGCTAGTGATCATCAACATTCAATGTTATGCGATCGACTTCAGCATAGATCCGAATTATGGCATCCGATTAGTGAAGCATCCAATTTGTCTCTATAAACATTCCACCTAAGAAATGGGATTTGGGTGAAACTATTCTATTCATCGATTGATGGCAGACGAGGAGTTGATCAATAAAATCCACGAGCTCAGCGACTTGGAGCTCGCCGCACTGATATGTTTAGTCGCAGAAGAGCACTGTATCATTGATACAGATCCCGACGCTCTAGGCGATCTCGTACAAGAGTTACAGCTGGTGAATATACCTCCCTTTCAATATCCTCACAAGCTGCTAATGCTCAGTAGGTCGCATCGAAAGTCTTCGGCTTAACCTATGCTGTAATCGATTGCAATAGCCACACCACTCTCGATGATTTTGCACATGCAATTCTTTCCGTTGATGCGGCTCCTACTCGAACCAATTCTCCTGCGATAAGTCGTCGCGACTCGTACTTCCTACAAACACCCGCTTTCCAATCAATCAATAGACCGCCTGTACCGGAAACGACCGATAATAAAAGGATAGCAAATGTGATCATTGCTAGGAATCTTGATGAAGCGCCGCAGCAGATACAGATTCAAGCGCTAGAGCTAATGCGAACGAAACGGTTGTTCACAAGGACATCCATACAAAATGCGCCAAAACGTTTCTTGTTTATTGCTGCTATAGCAGGCGGGGAGGGCCCAAGGTTGACAAAACATCTTAATGATTACATGTTCATTTCTCATGTACACGACCCTGAAGATGGGTTCCCGAACCTAGAAGATATGTTTACAGACGATACGAGTTCCACATTATCAGTTGTGAAAAGGAGTCCAACAATACAGACGGAAGAAAGTTTATGGGCGAGAATATCTCCGATGGTGAGTGGCCAAACACATGCGGTTGAGTTATTGTTACTAATATGGATATAGGATATCGAAAATTTAGCCCAGCAAAGTAAAAATACTACAGTCAGTGTTGAGGTCAAGCAATATCAACAAAATATTGCTTCCTTCCTTAGAATACATCGCGCGGTAGCGACGGGTATATCTGCAGTTGCTACAAAGCATTTTGATAAGCTTGTTAGGTGAGAGTGGCCTGATATGTACACGGAAATTTGTTCTGATACCGATTAGATGCCTCGCGCCTTTGCACGGCCTTCCATATGCTACTCCATCTCTTATTGCTCTTGCCGCCAGAAAGATATACCTTCATCGCATTGAGATCGTAAGCCCAGAAAGAGAACGTAGTATGCAATGGGGAAGTGACTTAGATGCCATCAGAGAAATGTTGGATGGTATAGGACCAGAGGAAGTGATTGAAGATGTGTTGGGCAGTGCAGGAGCCGAGGCTCCCTTGTAGAGTAAATCAACTAATTGAATATCAGAAAATTAACATCAACGGAGTGTTAGTAGCGCCTGTCAGTCATGATCATAAATGTGTGGTAGTAGTGTGACATGGCATATCAGCAAAATAGCCAATGTTGGTCCTGTGATTACAGAATTTTGAGAGTTTGTATCAGTCCCCAGCCCAGTTGATATTCGAATGTGCGCAAGAGGATGCCGAGTGGGATTTTTGAATGGTATTATGTAATGAATTGAATCGTCTCGCAGACTTTGCAATAGTAACACCTACTCACCACTTTGTTCATACGACTAATAAACTTCACTTACCTACATCACACTCGTCTCACCGTCTCCGCTTAATCATACATACCGGAAGGCATTTAAAATGGAATTTTGAATTCACCCAAAGACAATCACGCCGAATACCAGTCGCAAAGTGAGTACATTTCTTAGGAAGTTATATGACTAATAATTCTATGGCCGCACTTCCAAGGAACAGATCAAGTACAAACAGAAGTTACCTAGCCAAGCGTTCGTTGTCGAGGGCACTGAACGAGAGTCAAGAATAATAGAAAACCCAATCATTGGAAATACTTTGTCGAAGGCCTTCACATAACTCAAATCAATATCAACGTGTTCAGTTTCGGCTTTGGATACCCCGCACCCCTCATTCGTACCCCTATTCTTACCGCCTGGGCATATTTTGCCAGGTTTTGAACTGATTCTTCATATATCTTTCAGTTTCCTATTCTTTTGGCAAGACTCAACTCTTCTTCTTCTTTCCTCGTCACAAAGCTTGCATACAGCAAAAGTGTTGACTTGTTATTCGTCCCATTCTCGTTACTGCGACATCATGGCAAGTGCCGATTTGCCTTCTCCTGAATTCGTGGCTGATGCGACATCTGCTGTTGCCCGCTTAATCGTGGGAATTCCATCGGAGTATGTCTCCACGGAATCTTCTCCGATATCTTCAAACACACTCGGAAAATTATGCAGCCTAACTTTGACGAAATTTCACTGCTTTCCCAGGCTACCTCTCGAGTTACGTCGCAAAATCTGGGATATCTATTTTGGTCCGCAGCTTGGCCGGATTATCGAGATCGAATGGGATCCGACTCATCCCGTTGACAAGCATCATGGATACAGAGCAACAAAGGCATCTTCTCAGGCCCCTATAGGCTTACGAGATCCTATTTGTCGAGATACTCGGGATGAAATTTTGAGAAAATGTCAGCTTTGGCATTTCGATAATCGTCCTGAAGGGCATGAACCACCATCTCGACTTACATATTTTGATCCTTCTATCGATATCGTCTACTTCGGTTACAATACTTGTTTTGGTACAATGTGCCTCTTTGTGGACAATTTGGTTAGGGCGGGAAAACAACTTTCGCGTGTTGCGACTCGTGGTCTCGTTGATAGAAATTACTCTTGTTTAAAGGATCGCAGATCGGTCTTGGACGTTTGTTGTTCTTATGTGACAGAGAGTGCCCTCACAACCGTCCAGTTCCCAGAAAACTCCCTCCGTGCAGAAGGTAATTACAATCGACAGCTAGATCTTGGTTTGAAAGTGCTTCATGGTTTCCACACGGACAAGTTTCCAAACGTCTATAATGGATGGCCTGGCTTGCGGGAGATTATTATTTACGCTCAGTATTTTCCGCCGGTAGACGAAAACACTACGCTTAGACCGCCTACTTACGCTGGAATTCAACCAGCAAAGTCAGATATGTCGAGCTTTTGGTGTATTGAAGAGATAAAACGGGGCAATTCTCAATTTGATAATTGGACAAAAGGTATCCAGCCAAAATTTAGCCATGCTTGCCTTTCTAAACGAGCTGAACCTGGAAGAGTGTGCGACTCCTTAACGATGACAGAGGGAGACGTTGACGCATCCGTCTGGAACACCTATTGCGAGGAGATCGTGAGATTATCAAGTTCACACTGCCGAATTAGGGTAACAAAACGGAATACTAACATTTATAACCGATATGCTTATTTTGAATTATATGGCACTGAGGAGGCAATCTTCGCTGTGAAAAAAGCTTGCTTGTGAGTCTTCAATTGCGATTATGATGAGATTTACTAAATATTCAAGGCTCAAACCGGGAAGTTGGGACGAACATAGAATGGGTAACCATTGGCGTAGACGGACTGATGATCAGTGGAAAGAATGGAACTTCAATTTCTTGAGAGCTTTGTGAATTGAGAAGAGATCACAGGCCTTCGAAATCGATCGACAGCTACCCTATCATCCAAATCTGGTATCTCGCGATTTCCCCACACCTTTTATTGACTTGGGCTGGTACCATCTGTACATATAGCATGATCGCGAAAACAAAGTCGTTACAAGTTCTCTTGCTTCATTAATTCGTGATCTTGAATGTGGATTTGCATTTCCTCGCCTATTACAAAATGTCCTCGACGGAACCGATTTTTTGGTTTTAAGGCAGTTTTTATGGTTGCGCAAGTCACCGAACACCGAATCCATAATCCTCTTCCTGGCTTCTAAATTCTTCGTCGTTGGTACCTGTGATTCTGATATCCATTTAGGTATTGTCTACTTACATATCCCATCAGTGATAGATATTTTTATCGTTCTACATCACAACAACCTACTTTCTAGTGACTGAAATCATTCTCAATACTTGAGGTAGCACTTTCTATTATGGTAGATATCTACTGAGTGGTATATTCATTAGAACCATTTGCTTGAAAATAGAGAGCTTTTCATGTCCGAAGTATGAGTCTCCATTCATCACATGACTCTCATGTGATTGGCCTAATGTACGGTACAGTCACGTTGATTGGACGCCGTTAACACCCGGGGTGCTAACCGAGATATGGTATCTTCCAACAACACCTAGGTAGTTTCTTGGTGTACTTCGATGTATCGTGTCAACTCTTGTTTACATTCATATTTATACAACATCAAACATTCGAAAAATTTCCAGCAAGAAAAGTAAATATGGCATCATCCGCTACCGAAATTGAGCCATTACTGGCCAGTTCGATGAGAGTTTTGCGCAATCAAACCACCCTTCAAGATCTCATTGCAGCTTATCCATCTTTGAAGGAAAAGTCGCTTTCATCTCCTTCGAGCTTGACAGAGTTGGAACGTCGCGTGTTCCTTGATCTCCCGGATCCGGAAATTGAAAGTGCCAATATAAGTGCAGCAACAAATCTTTCACGGGCTGAATTGGTAGAGAAAGCGGTTACCAATCGCGGTAGCCTCACAGATGCAGAGGTCTTGGTTTTGAAAGATCGATTCTGGACATCACCCACCCAAGAGGAGAACTCGAGGATAACTGATGGGTTCATGGATTTAAGTGAAGAAGCAGGCGACTAATTTTTTGATGCCAAAGCTCCAGCTTATCTTGAGAACGAGGAAGAAGCTTTCAACATTGGTATTCATGAGTTCTGGGGCCGCGAGAAAGCTGTGCGGAATTATCAATTAAATGGTGTACTCAATGCAGCCTTGCCATACGCGCCGGAATGGATAAAGCAGCTCTACAAGGAGGGAAAACAGCAATGGGGTTTTGTATGTTGTTATGATGCTGCTGCTCAAACCATCGATGCAGAACGCCTTGAGGAATTCCAATTTGCCTTAGGTAGCTTTTTCGAACATGCACTTCGGTTCAATGGCTCAAAAGATATCATCAACGCCAAGTGGAAATATATGACGTTTAATGCGCCAGCCACTGCCTTTGCGCATACTCCAACTTCCATGCAAACTGAAGGCCACAGTGGTGGGATTACCTTTCGGAATGTCGGTTCCCAGTTCCGAAATGCATTTAGGGAAGTTTTAGAAGACCCAGAAAAATACCAAAGAAGGGAAGATATAATATCGACCACTGAATACACAGGTGATCTTGAAGATGGAATTGCCGGTTCCGGGTTTCTCACAAATACATTTCTTGTATTTGATCCAGTCTGCATCGACTTAGTGGTGGAATCTGGATATTTCTATGATAACATGCGTGTCTTAGCATTCGAGGCTGAATTTCCAGTGCCAGGAAGAACATATGTGGAAGGATATCAAGGTTACACATGGGTGAGACTAGATCAGTTGGTGTGCTACTTCTACGAGCTCAGGATGAAAAACGAGCTTGGCATAGATAAGATATGGGAGGCGGCGCAAAAGAGTCAGAACAGTGCATTTGTTAGCATGGACCCCGAGGAGGCTTTGAATTGGTCGCGTTCTAACCATCAAACGGCATTCACCTCCGATAGTATACTCGGAAAAAGACGTTATATCATAAGAGAAGCTCAACAGAGTTGAACAAAAACTCGGTTGAAAGAGGAGCTTTCGAGACCGGTAGAGGAAATGAAGCCTGGGCACTACGAAGTGCGGTTTACCAAATATTTGTTTATTAGGAGGGCTGCAATCTTGCACTAGACAACTAATGATTATTGTGTCGGGAATCCGATGATAGAAAATTTTCCACCAACTCATTCATATCCACCACCCCCAAAATCGGGTATACGGAAAATTGATGGGGTGACATGGGGTTTGCAAATCTATATCTCAGAACACAATTTCTTTGCTTCCGGTCCTCGGAGCAAACTTGGTATACAGTTTACGAAGGTCAATTCGAATTTGGACGTGGTAATAAGCATTTCCAAGGCTCCGGCCAGGGGCCCCAGCGTTGAAAATCCACTAAAGCGGTCTTCCCGTTATCCACTATTGCATCTATCAGACAGGTATCATTTAGGCACCGTTGAGCTTAAAGAAAGATAAATCATATGTTTTCACGATACTGGCAGCTTTTGGCGGGAAACGGAGATGAATTTCATGGGTTTTGCTAGTGCTCAGCACCAACTGTTGGTGATTAATATGATCACATACCAGGGCCTGTTGGCATGTGACCAAACGTCCATGGAGGGGTAATTTTTCCAAAAGATTTTTTCAAAACTAGTGAGCCACCCAATGATTACTCAAATCTCTTTCCCTTTATTTACTGACTAATTTCAAAGTTGTGACTGAATGCACCAGTACCGCTGGTTGTACAAATGTAAGTGTGAAGAATCCATAATCTACTGCCCAAACAATAAGACCTACAAAATTGTGGCTTCCTTCACGTTCAAGAGCGCACAATAAAGTCCAAATCTTCCTTACCCACTGTCTCAAGAGTACTGGTGCTAATTAGATGTCTAGTGGAATGCTTTCACCGCTTTCAAAGCTGGAGAGGAGACCAGTGGTGAATCCGGGTTAAGTCTTTCTGACCAAAAATGTGTTGAGGGATTTGGTACAAATGATTTTAACACTATATGTGTCTTCGTATGTGGGCTAGGGTATGTTATAAATGAGATAAGTTTGTGTTTCATCGACACCTCGAAGCTAATGGATCGAAAGGTATTGCCCCCCTGAAGCTTGCACTTGCGCTCAGATGGGAACAGCACCAAAAGTACCAGCTATCACTGGGTTCACCGGCTATTTCGCAAATGGAATGATTGAATACCAGGGCTTATGTGCTTTTGCCTGTCTTTATGTGAGTATCTATCTGGTAATTCATGTCGAATCAAGTGCTAAACAAGTACGACAACAGGGATTCTGCGGCTTCAAAAACAATACTGTTTGTGTGGACTCTCCAACTACTCTGTATATTCCTAGTGTTTCTCCATTCAATCCTCCAGCATGTACTGGAGGTAGTGGAGAAGGTGATTTTTCTGATCTGTGCAATTGGTCCTGCCAATATGGATATTGCCCAATATCTTCATGCACTTGCAACACACAAGGTGATTTGGCTATCCCTCCAACCCAAGTCGGCGATGTAACAGCTAGTTTTCTGCCGGTCCCTGGTGTCATGGAGTATGATGATCTTTGTTCATTTGCTTGCAGCCGTGGGCATTGTCCCGATGTTTGCGCTTCAGATTTGGCCTGCACATCGGGTTCGGGCTCTGGAAATTATATCGGGCTGTGCATTTACACTTGCCAGTACAATTTCTGCCCCGAACCATGCGATTGTCTTGTTTATGGTACTGAGGTCTCAGCTCCGCCTTTGGTGCCTGGAGTTACTGGATTTGGCGCCCTTGACTTAGACTCCGCCATCTACGATCCTCTCTGCAACTTTACTTGCAGCAATGGTAAGTAGATGTTTTCTAAAATACCATATTCTCAAGCCACAAAAAAAAGTCATAAGCCTCATATGAATCTTTTACTTCATTTTCTTTGTACTTCCACAAAATCTTTGGCTCCGAACCTCCCTTTCTTACCTGATTTAATCTTGGCATGCTTTCGCTAATCAGCTGACTTACCAGGCTACTGCCCTAGTGGTGCCTGTTCATACGAAGAGGACGCTGGTACAACTACATCGCTTGATTTTCCTTCAGATGATGACTTAGTTCCCTTTGAGTTAAGCACGAGCTACAGCCCTGGCGCTGGATTCTTATATGATACACCTGAGCCTTCAGACTACACCCTAAACGTCAACCTGATTGGTGCTCCAATAATTTGGGTTGACGTGAATTGTAGTTCAATATCGGGCGAGTATGCTCCGGGAGCCAATGGAGACACTCTTGGATGCATTTCTGCAGCAGTCTCGGTGAGTACTTCCAACAGCATCGTCTTTTTTTTAACGATTGCACATTTCGAATTGTGACTTTTCCTGGCGCTGGACAGCCTTCACAGCCCTGTGCTTCACGATCAATCTGACTCTATGTGTCTAGGAGACAACCTTAGGGAAGATTGAACAAGTGGAAAATGCCACAAAGCCACCATATTTCATTCGCCACTTTCCCCTTAAGTGCTCAACTCCACCAACCCATAATATCCCCTCAACCTCGCCATGTCCAACATTCTTCAAAGAACTCATCATTTTCGTCTACTTCAACTATAGATGCCTGTGACCCAGTACTAATCTTCCATGCACGATATGCAATTTTCACATACCGTAGTGAAGGAGATAGCGCGGAAATTAGCTTTATGTAGCATAATGCGTCATGAGCCGACACAAAAGGGTCTGGATTGGGACCTGGAAGACCGTCGGTACTGCTGCGACGTTGACCTATGCATAAATATGTAAGGGACTTCATGTTGGATAGATGGATTGAAAAATTGTCCTATGACAAAGTTAACATAAATCATGGCAAGGGGATAATTGACTAGTCACATTTGGTATGGGATAAATTGCAAGAGAGACATACCCATTGAGTAGCAAAATCTAGATAGAGTCCGAGTTTAGTGAGACTTCTTCCGTGGCCTGGAAGTCTATCAAGAATTGTGTATGGAGCTAGCACATCGTACCCTGGAGGCTTTTCTAAAACAGGCACTAGGAGATTGGGAGTGTTTGGTACATTCGTCACTTCTCTGATTGAGAGCTCGGATAACCGTGGGAGGTCGAGCGTGTTGAACTCCTCTAAGAGGGAGTCATACATGCTGTACAGCTGAGTAATTCCGAGTTTTCGAAGATTTGAGATCTTCCTTGCCTCATTATTCGTCCAGGCCCTGAGTGCGCCGTCGAGACGGGTGACCTTAATACTGCGCAAGGGACCCACGTTCTCAAGAAGCCTGTAGTCGATATCACAAAATTGAGCGTCACTGTTGCTGGGGTTCTCTGCGATCAGACCATTGAAAAATCCCAGGTCAGTGATGAATGATGTATTGGTCAGATTCTCTAGATAATTATCGACCCTTTCAGATGCGGACTTGAAAGGAGATAAGTCGGCTGGAAGGACAAGTCGGCTCAGCTGCAAAGGTTTTACTCCACATATGGTGTGATAATAATCACACAAATGCTCCAGAGCATACTTGCTGTCTCGCCTCAATCTGGTGTTTAAATGATACGGTTCAAACGAACTTCCATAGTCTGTAGGTCCAAGTACCCGAACCTTAAGATGGGGACATCTGGACAGCAATCTTGCAATATCTTCTACTCCAGTTGTTTCGCTGCTGAAATTGTGAAGCTCTAGGAATGACAGATCTTGGAATTATTGCAACATGATTGTGCTATCTGGAATACCGTTCATGTGAACCTCTTTAAGCTTTGTACATGCCTGCAAAGCCTTTTAAAAGCTTTCTTCTGTAAAGGCATGGAACAAAGTATCGTCATTTGCATTATCGATTAGTCTGGCAGGATATATTGGTTTTATGACTGGCTAATTCAACATGGAATGGGAACTCTAAAGGAGATACTTAGCATACTTCAGAGTCTGAACACCTACGCCCAGCTTCACAATTCGCGAGATGTAATCTGCTCAGGCTTTCCTGAGCTGTGAAATATGTTCTTCCCGATAAGACTGAGCTTCCTCATCTTCCTCATCCTCCTCAAAATCAGCTTCATCCCAATCGCGAAACTCACCATCAATTTTGACTTCCATTTCCTTCGCCAGCGAAATGTTAGACGGCAAAGGAGGCATATCGGGCTTCCTCGGTCCATCAAGTATCAATTCCGAATACCATTGCGCATACAAAATCGGCGTAAATATATCCCGAAATTCGCGACAAGCACTAGATATGCCAAAGTCTTAACATCGAGGCGTTCCCCCAATGCAATGTGTATTTCTCTAGGAAGCGACAAAATCCCCATGATGTCAGTATTTGCATGAAATGTCTCAGTCATGACTTGGAGGAGCAGAGTTTTCAAAGATTGAGATAACAAAAGAAAGGAAAAAAGCTGTCTTTATGTAGCTAGTATACCCAACTGTTGGTCAAAGCTAGCTAATCTATCTTTTTGGGCAACCGCCGCTTAATTGACTGCTGGAGGGAAAGGGGGAGGGGGGCAGGAGGATGCAAGCAGGCATTATTCAAAAGAACCTGATTTCTGCATCTAAAATACCAATCAGGGTTCTTATCTCTTCTTCGGATACATACTGATGGTCTTCCCAGTAAATCGATGGTACCCAGAACAGATGCATGTTATCCCTCTTAGATTCCGAAAATCTGAGCACACAACTCAAGATGTTGCATTGCTTGAACCATTTCTGGGCCCGGTACAAATCTAATGTAGCAATTGTCAGTCGACGCCATATTTCTTAATCGCCTGACGCTTTGCAAATGCCCTCGGGCGCGCTCGAGACGCGTTAGGAACTCTGGATGTTGATCATTCCGACTAGCAGAACTGGTCACTGCGCAGCGGGTTTGCGTGATGATAGATTTTCTTAAACTTTACTAAAAACACACCTTACACCCGAAATATAACGCGTCAAGCGCTCTAGCCCCACACCACGTAAAATGCTAACGGCAATCTGAAATCGCAACCGAGAACGATTATCACATGGTTGTCAGAAAAATGAGGAACAAGAATGCTTCTATCCATGTTCTGTCATCTAGACGCAAGCTGCTTTGTCATGTCTATATATCTGCAACATAATCCAAATACTATCCTAACATCAGCAACGACGAGGGCAGTCCTTACTTTGGTTCGTCAAACACCAAAATTGTGTATAGAAAGGATACGAAATTCAGCAATGACTCGCGGTCCCGAGCATGTGCTAAACTCTAGCTTCCCTCGCGTCTTGCCTTTCCACTAGTTCCACAAATTCGTGATTGTTAATCGTATGAAACCACTTCACTGTGGAATATGGGCCAAAGGATCGCAATTTTTATAGTCTCAGGAACAATATGCCACTTTTCTTCTTTTCCAAATATGAATGCTCAAAGATTGTATGACTACGCACGATCCCCTTCTCACTTGGGCCTCTCCCTGGAGGCTTTTACAAGCTTTCTAGTTCTATAGTTGGATCTTCCGGTCCTTTCAGCCGAGCTCGATATTACTATTATTATAATTACTGGCGAGATTGAAGATATACTGTTATATCGATCAACCGATCGATTTAACATAGATAGGAGAAAGCGAATAGAGAAAGGGTAAAGTTATTGAATCTACTTTAACTGAGTTCACTTCACTTATATCTGATAGGGATGAAACATGATTTACCTTTGAAGGCTTTAAATTGAAGAATTGAAGAGATAAAAGCAAGTGGGGGAGTCTCCTCGAACCGGGGCTAATACTGTGATATTTCACGTAGTATCTTAGTAATCACTTTGCATCTCAAAGCACCTCCGGATGCAACATCTTCCACACTAGATCCATATTATGCGATTCAGGTGGTTCCGTGAAGAAAGATCGGACAGAACAATCATGTATAAAGCTCCTTTCCCTCAGCTCTATTCATATTTTTCTCGTGGCAGAAATTCGGATTCCAATTCAATATCATTGACATCCTCACGTTGACCAAATGTCCAAGCGTATTCTTCTCACCGGAGCAAATGGCTTCGTAGGTTCGTGGATCCTCGATCACCTCCTCAGACAAGGCCACTTCGTCCGCGCCGTAATACGCTCCGAATCCAAAGCCGAACGAGTTGCCTCCGATTTCCCTGCCTACGAATCTCATCTTGACTTCGGGATCGTCCCCGATATCACCGCCCCCGGAGCTTTCGACGAGGTGGTCAAATCTGATCCTTCTTTTGATGTCGTGATTCATACTGCTTCTCCATTTCTCTACAAGGTTATCACGGATAATCGTGAATTTCTTGATCCCGCAATCAGAGGAACAATGGGTGTCTTGGAGAGTGTGAAGAAAAATGCACCGGAGGTAAAGAGAGTTGTGGTCACAAGTAGCTGTGCTGCAATTATTAATTTTGCTGAGGAGGTTGTTAGTCAGCCGCCAAAAGTCTATACGGAGGAGGATTGGAATCCTACTACATGGGAGAGTGCATTGGAGGGAACGCCGAATAATGCGTATCAGGCTAGTAAAAAGTTTGCGGAATTGGCTTGTAAGATTAATGTTCCTTGGAAATTGGGATGATAGATTAGTACTAATGATTTCTTTGTAGCATGGGATTTCGTGGAGAAAGAGAAACCGAATTTCGATTTGGTAACTTTGACCCCTCCGATGGTTTACGGACCGTTGAGACATACAATTCATAGTACGAATGATCTGAATCAATCAAACCTGAGGATCTATAGTGGATTGGTCAATTCATCTAAGGATGCTGAGCTGCCTCCAAGTGTGTTTCTTCAATATTATGATGAAAATGAAAATAAAAGCTAATGTGACCAGACGGCCTCCATACATTCACTGATGTTCGTGTAAGTATATTCCCCTCTCCTTCGAAAGGCCTAAACATCTAAGAAAACTCAGGACCTAGCAGAAGCCCATGTCCTCGCTGCAACTCTCCCAGAAGCATCGGGACAGCGTTTCATTGTTTGCGAAGGTCAAATATCATCTCAAAATATCAGTGATATCCTTCGCAAGAATATCCCAGAATTAGAAGAAAGAACACCGAAGGGTGTCCCCAGTGACAAAGGACTAGAGGATGGCTCTTTCGCATGTAGTAGCGAGAAGGCTGAGAAGGTGTTGGGATTGAAATTCAGAAGTAAGGAGGAGACTTTTGTGGATTTGGCTAGACAGCTCTTGGATATTGAAAAGAAACAGAAAGATGCAGAGTAAGTTGTGAGAAGATAACTTATTTGTGAAGGAGTGGATGCTTTTATTGATTTATATATCTATTGTTGCAAAAAATCTTAGGCCGGCGCTCGGGACTCTAGATGCAGATTGACTGTGCTACCGTGTATGGTCGTTTGAAGACCATTGTTTAATGGCAATATCCACTCACGCAAGTAAAGTCAGCGTTGCAAGGACTGTCTGCGCTGCAATCCCATCCATCGCAACCCCAAGTACAAGCTTCGGCTTGACGGCAATAACCACTCACGCAAGTATAGTCAGCGTTGCAAGGACTGCTTGCGCTGCAATCCCATCCATTGCAACCCCAAGTACAAGCTCCGGTTTGACTGGGAGCCTTCGTAGTAGTAGCGCTGGCAGTTGGTGTGCTCCCAGTGGTAGTGCAGCCCGTCTTCGTATTGTGTAAGAGCAACTGTTGGGCAGAAGACAAAATTGATGAGCTTCCTTCCACAATCAAGAAGTTCTCTTCTTTGTTATACTCGAACCATGATGCTGCAATGTAGTTTGGATATTCGCACATGTCTTGATTCACCAATTGGCTTATCCACGCAGCATTTCCAGAAGATCCAGCGTAGGCTGTTTCACCAATGGCGAATGGGATGTTATAAGCAGCGGAGTAGGTTTTGTAGAAATTGCCGTAGCAGTTTGAGAAGGCTGAGGCAGAGAGTGGTGATGATGAACTGGGGTAGCAATCGACACCTACTATATCGACGTAAGACGCGCCTGGCCAGTATGGTGCAACCGGAGCATCTGAAGTGTCCACATTGGGAGACCAGTACATTTTAATCTTGGGATTGGTGGAAACAGCTGCATGAATATTCTTCCAAGCTGTAACAAACTCGGCCGCCGTTCCATGGTATGTACCATCCGTCTAGTCTGATGTTAGTCATGATGATAGTAAAGTTTGGGATGATTAATACTAACAATGTAGTAATTCATCTCATGACCAAATCTCAGCCAAACCTCTACACCCTTCGCAGTGAATTGTTCCAATACACTTGCGACCTGACTAGCTACACTACTAGTTACCTGACTAAATGGAATAGTCGGCATGACCGCTGGTTGGAACACAGCACCAGAAGCAACAACATCATCTAGACGTTGAAGGAGTTGAGATCCAGTAAATGTACTAGATGTTATTTGCGCATACCATCCATAAGTACTGGCTTTTCCGCCGAGTTTGCTGTTTATTTGTGCCATGGTATAGGCTGGAGATGTCACTTGGTATCCATCTGAAGGAAGGAATCCAAAGGCCACGCCGTTGGAAACTACTCCACCGGAAGGAAGGCCATCAATTGGAGCTGATGAACATTAGCCATGAGTTTTACAAAGAATATGGATCTATCACCTCGTTTTTCAACAGAAAATTGTGGAGTAGCCAAGGCTGACACTGCCGAGAAAACGGCGGCACCGGAAAGAAGAGAGGTAGAGAATGATTTCATGGTGGAATAGAGATGTAAAGACTGTTGGTGTAAAAGTTTAAACCAAAATTGTTCTAAAAAACAAGATGAGATGAGAGTAATCGAGCAAGTGAGATGATAGATTAAGTACTTAGACTTTCAATGAATCACAGTATGTGTAGTTTCCCCTCCCGTTCACTGGGATGGTTTATCATGTCAAGAGAGTCCCAGCCGTCCCTTGAGTTTCAAAATATGCACCACCATGGCCCATGAAGCTTATTTATCGTATACTTTCGGGGTATCCGTCCAACGCTAGCAAGGATAATTATTTTAAGGTTATTTTGGAGTTAAGTGGCTTCCTTCCTCATGGAATAAAATGCCTTGAAACAAAAGCATTTGATGAATAATTTATTGAACAACAAATCATATAGCCAAGGTTATCTCTGCATTTTTAATTTACGATGAGCTTAATAAGTTTTGAATCCTTGCTAGCTTTGAACAAACTTTGTGAAAGAATAAGATAAACACAGACATGAAAATGCCGTGTGGATGACGGAATCCATCTGTTCAGCCGCATGGTATGACATTTCTCACTCTCATTGTACACCGAAATCTTTTTATCTGGGATTGGCGCTTAATTGGTAGATCTTCTTGATGGAAAATGATCATTCTTTCATCAACCCTGCAAGGCAACATCCAGACCCTTTGAGACCACAAAAGCCGTATACTACTATTACTGTGGGGAAAAGTATATTAGATTGAAGTTTGAGATTGAGAGTATGAGGTGTTTTTATTATAGGATTCAATATCGCTACCCTCATCACATCTCGCTCCATCGCTAGATTCCTTGGGAGTAACACTCCTCTGTCTCTATATAAACAGAATATTACTGAATTCATACAGGTGTTTCCATTGCAATTGGAGGTGGAAATATCTCTGATATGTATATGCCAAGTGAGCGAGCAGGTGTTTTCGGGGCAACGGATAGCATCACTACTATCAAGAGTGGAGAGAGGCTTGAAAGATAACAGCCTCACGGAGACGCCGAATCTAATATATCACCGTTTAGAAAAGATCTTCACTGCCCCGCATGTATGACTCGCAAACATGAACATATGCGAGAGGGGTAACCATCAGGGTGATATTTTGAGCATCGCACATCTGGATATGCTGTATACCAACAGGGATTGATGTCTCTATCCATTCTGATATTATCAGTTGTGCCGAGAAGTGTCTCTTGGATGTGTTGTTCAGTATTGTTCAATGCCCAATTTCTATCAAAAGTTAGCAAGTGCATACAATCCGCAACAAGATTTCAATATATACGATGAAGGAACATACACTCACCCAAGTTCATATATGTATACACGCACGATTCTTGATGGCAAAAGCAATGTAGACGTGCATCATTTGACCGTATATCATGAACGGGAAAGCCGATAGGGAAGGTGGTAGAGACTTTGTGGGTGCCGTCGGGGGAAAGAGAAAGCTGATAGGGAAGGTGGTAGAGACTTTGTGGGTGCCTTTGGGGAAAAGGACTGGGTTATGAACCAGAAGATACGGGCCTTGGCAAGATGGCTAGTAGACGTGGTCGAGGGGAAGGGCGGACAAGTGGATTTGTAGATTGCCTAGGTAATTTAGGCTTCAAGCCATTCTACTAAAAACCCATTGTTTATTGAAATATTTACTTGGTACTTTGATTTTCACAGCGATCGAAAACCCATCATAACAGTAAACCGCAAACTGGTGTTGCAGCTGCGGTATCTCCGACCTTAACGCCAATCCGTGGAAGCTTCCAGTCAGTCTTACTCGAGGCAACCGCGATTTTGTAGCAAACAGTTGAATGAATGACGAAGAACATGATCTATACTATGTGTATCATTTGACCTGTATTTGGTCTATTTGAGAATAACTGTGTAAGAGTTGGTAAGACCAGGGTTGATAAAATCGTCTTTGGTTGAATACAATGACTCTATACAATGAAATACTCCCTCGTGATCGCTCTAGAGGCTCTTAATGGTGAAATCGAACAATGGATGCCTGATAAAGGTGGGATCTGAGGACAGTGTATCGCAGTCAGCAGGATAATTCAAAGTCAGATCTAACGTCAATATTGAAGTCTTAGAAACCGCTATCACAGACTATTCGGCCCGTTGTACTCTATTCCTTCCACACCATAACGGTAAAAGGAGCATTTTTGCTATAATCATTTTGGTTGTTCTTGAAAGTGATTCCTCATGATATTTAAAGAAAAGATTATAGAATCAAGCCATGAGAAATCAAGAAAGTCCTAATAAGAAAGGATACAAAATATATACATGTATGTAATTCAATAAAATCAATGAAATAATTAAAAAGGTAATAATCAAATTGTTAATGTAATAATTCGATTACTTCAAACTCAAGACTGACTCTATGTAACCTAAATAAGAGATGGAAACTAAATACTATCTAAAATGACTTCAATAATTTGAATTTCTCATATAGTCCAGATTATGAATTTGAAGAAACTCAGATTTTCTTTTAATCCTCTCAAACTCTCGTATCTAATTTGAAGGAATTCATAATTCATTAAAGAAGTCCTTTGAAAAATTACTCAATTCCTGTCTCTTATTTTGATTGAGTACATAGTGATTAATCGCTTATTTTAAGCGGTCAATTATTTAATTATTTACTTCTTTTCTTCTGTTATTTTTTCAACTCTTTGATTCGTTAACAAAGCTATTCAAAGATAAGTTATATATACTTTCTGTAAATATAAGTTTATTTTCATCAAAAGTAAGTTCAGTTCCATCGATTTTGTTAATTTTATCGAAGTAAGTGATTCAAGATACATTTAGACGTTGAAAGACCTCTTTTCTTTTTTCATTCGCTTGTTACCCCCTTTCCCCTTTTTATTTTATTCAATAAATCAATCAATCCATGATATATATTCAATTTTTGGTAATAGGGATATGTGAAATCGAGCTCTTCTGATGCCCCAGAGTATCGAAAGAGCTAATAATAAAACTACAAAACGTACATGAGAATCAATCGGAGGAGGATTGTACTTAGTCATTAGTATTTACACGCTACACTACACAACAGCCACCATTACGAGGCCTTTACACTAAAGAAACTAGACAAAATCTTACACAAATATGATTCTTAAAACGGTATTCTGTGGCCATTATAATTGTACATAACAACCGTATTTTACGGCTATTTTGATTTTACGGGGAGATTACGGAAGGATTGTTTCAAATGCCAATGTGGTTAGGGGATGTGGTGTTGGTGTCCAATACACCCAATTTAATAACGTGTTTTCAAAACCTTAAATTTCAGTGCTTTATTAAAAACATCTGAATATTAGATTTTCCAATTTCAATCTACAATACCTTTATCAATTATAGTCCAATTCAATTGAAAATTTGATCAAATTATAGGGAATAATGAATTATATTATTTATATAATTTTTGATTATTTCAAATCGGTATTAATCGAATTGGAGAGTTTAGAGCGAAAGTTCGAAAACAATTGAAAATAAGTCGGATACCCCACTTTCTGGCCACCCCCCTTTTGGGCCACTTTTTACACCAAAAATGGAAATTTTAACTCTCTCATTTATGGATAGAATTTCATGAAAATTTATATATATATAATTTAGATCGATTTAAGCTTATTCTGAAATTTTCAGATTTTTAGGATTTTTCTGTATTGAGATCTAGAGCTTCAAAATATCGATTTTTAAATTTGTATAGGAATCACATACAAATTTGAAACTTTTATAAAATCTTTAATAACTTTCGAATAAAAATTGCTAAAAATATATTGTAAAATTTCACTATCACTTTATAATATATTTCATATAATAGATTCAGAAAAAATAAAAAAATTCTCATAAATAAATATTTAAAGGGGTACCCTCAAAATGACAGGGATTATTTATACTACTCTAAACTCACTGTATACTATATCTCTATATCTGTTAATTTTTTTGAATTTTTTTTTGAATTTCTATATAGATTCAAGCTCAAATATCTCAGAAATATATATAGTTTTCTTTTAATAATTGTTGTTAAAAAGTTATTAAAGGTTTTATAAAAATTCTAAATTTGTATGTGATTCCCATACAAATTTGAAAATCGATATTTTGAAGCTCTAGCTTTCAATACAGAAAAATCCTAAAAATCTAAAAATTTCAGAATAAGCTTAAATCGATCTAAATTATATATATACAAATTTTCATTGAATTATATTATATATTGATAGAGATATTAATAGGCCTAAAAAGTGATTTTTGGTGTGAAAGGGTGGCCCAAAACCCTGTTGGCCCGAAAGTAGGGTAACCGACTTAGCTTGGAAACACATTGATTTTCAGCCTCAAAATCGAATTTTTGATCTATTTACCTCCAACTCCACAACCATTTCCCCAAATTACTAATAAATTTAATACATCAATTCCTTTAGTTGAGATATCAATTATTCTGAAGAGCTTATTCAATTTGAAGATATATTGATGAATCCAGAAATGATTGAAATTGAATTTTCATATTGATAAAATTGATGAGGCACAAAATTTCGCTTGTTTTCTTTGGAAACGAGTTATTAAATCGGGTGTAGTTCTTGTGGCTTGAACACTAGCGCCGTCAGACCCCAAAATAAAACTGTCCTAGCGGCAAACAAGCATTTTTCTAGAACATCATAATTTAAGGGTATGACATCCGGATTTGCTCGATCCTTAAGCAACTATATCGAGTGTGGACTCCAGATTCCACGCGCTGCCCCTGAACTATGCCGATAGGAGTTGATGCTCATTTAATTCTGTGGAAGTTTGTCAGCGAGGGATTCTTATATCAGCATCGGCAGAGCTTGAGGTTACATTGTATCATGAAAATCGAGACAAAGGTGTTGACATTTGGGGTTATTATCGTAACTTTCATAATCTCACTTTTCAAATGCTGTTTTATTGCTTTCAATCTACCTGTCGAGAGTCCAGGGTGTGTGTATTCATTGTTGTTGGCCCCCACAACATCCGTGCCGATATTTTCTAGGGTATCATGGCTTTCCACGGAAATCCTCATGGACCCTTTCTTAGAGTTGATACCAGGGAGATATAACAATCCAGAAAGTGCTCCACAAGGATATCCCCAGACCATCAAAGTTAGAATCCCAAATCGTATTACAGTTCAGACTACTGAAAACACCAATGAGCAGCTGCCTAACATAGAATAGCGTCTCGTGTTGCACATTGTTTCATCACCTAGGTAGTATACCATTGTTAAACGCACTCGTTGAGCTGAGAGACACCGCTTCCTTCTTTTCGTCATTATCTAATCAATTTTATAGCATGGAACAAATGTCAGCAAAAAGGGACGCAACTGATCTTCTGCAACTACATGAAATCCCATATCTTCTAATTGCGGATCATGCAAGGTGGTTTGATATCGTTCTTGTGTGATATAACCCTAAAGTTTAATTTGAAGTCGTTGGTATATATATTGGTCAAAGCAAGACGTGTTTTTTCATTCATCAGCTTTCCCTGTATCTTTCTCACATTCATTCACCGAATCTTAATTCTATTTTCCTAACAGTCATTCTTTCAACCTTGTTTATTCCATCATGCATTTAAATCAATCGATTATTTCGGCATCTTTTCTCGCCGCGGCCGCACTTGCAGCTCCCTTGGATGCTCGCGGTAGTTCCACCTCACCAGCCAACGCAAAAGTTACCCTAGCAGCAGCATTCACTTCTGGCGCCGGCAACAAAGAGCCAAACTCTACCACCAGCATCGGTGTTGGTAAAGGCGCAGATACTTACAAGTGCTACTCGGGTGGCTGGCAATCTTTCCCATCATCTTCTGAATGGGTGTCATTTGATGCCATGTGGAACAGTTCCACTACATATCTCAAAGAATCATGTGCCAATACTGGTGCCTTTGGCTCTGGTGACAGCCCGGCACAGATCGATAACATGTACAACTCAATCTTGTCGGTTGCTAGTGCTAGTTTGGTGGACCCAAGATTCATCTACGCCACAATTTTGCAAGAAAGCAGCGGTTGTGTCAACATCGATACTAGCCAGAACCCAGATCCAAGTCAACCTGACAACCCGTATGTTCTCATTTACTTTTTTCTTCTTAATCAGCTATCTTTCAAACCCAAATCACTAACAGTGTCCCAGCGGACTCATGCAATCCGTCGGCGGTGTAAAATTTGTCGGTAACTCCGCATCTGCTTCCGCTCAAGCTGCATCTATTCGCCAAATGATCGTTGATGGTACTCAAGGCACATCTCAAGGCGACGGACTTGTTCAATGTATCAATCAGTATGGAAACATTTATGAAGCAGCTAGATGTTACAATTCTGGCCAGGTCAACAAGAGCAATCTGAATGATGCTGAGGGAGCTACACCAAGTTATGTTACCGATATTGCAAACAGAATGACTGGGTGGCTGGATGCGCCACAGAAGTTCGGCTCTTGCAAGAAATAGACTCCATGGTGCAGTATGTAGATACGGGGTAGACGGAGATCTGTGGAGTGCCTTTGGCGAGGTGTTTCGGGGCAAATGAGCAAGGAGCTAGGTCTCGCTCGCGGAGATGTAGTTTGTGGTTCGCAGTTTCTGTGTTCTTGGAGCTGGAGAACTTCACAATGTCATAATTTGAGTTACAGGATATGTGATAGTCCGGACTGTAGTCCAGGAATTTATAACTCTGGAATATTCAATCTAATTCTTGATGTTTTAGCTATTTCAGACATTGACATAATTATCGTTGTTGAATTCACGAGCATTCTACTATTCTGTCTTTCCCACTGTTTCTCACGATTTTCAAATTAGTCTCTCTATGAATAATTTGAGCTAACAATAAATTCAAAGATTGCAAAAACTCAAAAATAGCTATACATATGTCTTCTTGCTAACAATAGAAGTAACAATCCATGTTGCGATTCTAGACACATTAATACATTAGCTCATATTTGAAATCGTAAAGACATACTGCTCTCACCGAAATTGCACCCAAAGAAGTCTCAGGATTAGCCCAACCACCAACACTACAATTTGGCATCCCAGAGTTCACGCTTGTAGTCCAAGACTGGGTTCCATATACAAATTGAATGTAGTCTGATGGATTTCCATTAAGCTCCGGAGTAATGACAATAGGAAAAGGTAAAGTGGTGTTGAAAACGTAAGGATTTCCATCCCCGGCGACCTTTGTAATATTTTTTGAGCCATCTTCTCCACTCCCCATAACCGGAATATCATTTCCAATACCATCTGTTATATTTCTTATGTGCACTTCGAAGATCACATGTTCGTTGCTTGGTCCAGGAAAGCTTTTGAATTCTTCGAGGTGAAACCAACATTTTCCTGCTGTGTAATTCTGGTTGACTTGAGGAGTAATACGGTACGTAACTATGTCTACTTGAAGTGTACCGCCGGTCTTCCAATTTGATGGGTTCCTGGCAGCATCGGAGTCACAGGCTGTCAACTATTAGCAAGCTTGATACACCCGCAAAGATGATAGAGAATAATACTATCCATGATTGATGTCATGTTATTAGAGCAATAGTTCTTCAAATCATGCATGATATCTATCCCAGGTGGCCAGTCAATTTCCAAATCAACTTCATAGTGTCCACCTTGGTTGTAAGTACGGAGTATTGAGCCGCTATCTTTATCTTGTGTGCCTTGTTCAGCAGCCTCTTGACAGAATTTATTGATTTGATTCATCATGTCATCGCGGGCCATGAATTTATTGCTTCCGGAATTGCATGTTTGCTTAGGTGTTGAGGTAGGAAGTATGGCGACGGAAATTGAGTTACTCGATTGTGAGACTGAAGAGATAGAGGTTTCTGAGGGTTTTGGCGACGATGAAGTTGAAGATGATGTCGAGGAAACAAAGGTTGTCGATTTAATATATGTTGAAGGACTAGCTGATTCAGATGTTGATATTGGTGTTGGAATGATTGAAAGACCCGTTTTACCAGAAGGAGCTACGAGATTGTCGGTTGTTTGTGAGGAATCGTCAGATTTACTGAGCCTTGTTGAAACAACACTACTGTTTGTCTCGGAACATGGCGTCGAAGACGATCCAGAGGTCCCAGCTGTCGTGATGATGATCGGAAGCGCTGATGTCGTCTGAAGATTAATTCCCATAGAGGTTGTACTGGTCTTAAAGATATAGCTATTATGGTTACCCACTATGATAGTGGTACAGAGACAATCACATGAAGATGTATTCAGCTCCTTTCCAAAGACGGAAGATATTAACACAGAACCGAAAATCATTGAAATAAGAAGATAGTGCGGGAACCGCCTTACGGGTACCATATTCAAAGAAAGTGCGTACATGATGTAGAATTATCTTTCACTATGACAGAAATATCAGTATGCCAATTGATAGAAAATGGAGTCTAAGAGCAAGCTACTTATAATATTCTACACGTACATTATTGCTCCATTCTAGATTAATTATGACGCAACAAAGTTGATATTATTTGACTCATATAATATAGCAACATGATAATCATTTCCAATCATTTCAATTTGAATTCGCAAACAATTTTCTCTTGAATAGCAATGCTAAGTATAAATTGTAGCAAAAAAGAATAGAATGTGTGATTCAAGGATGTCCGTTGATGCCTCAGAAGACAAACAAAATTTGTTTATTTAGCCGAAGATTTTTTAAATACACCCAATTTAATAACGTGTTTCCTCCCAAAAAAGCACTTTTTCGAATATCACCTAATCGAATTTTTGAAATCGGAAAATCCAATTCAATTAATATAGCTTCAAATTGAAAAAACTTTGTATTATAATATAGATCTCAATTAACAAAATTTATAAATAAAGTTTGAATAGAATTGATTAAAAATTTATAGAATTAGAAATGGTTGAATGAAATTATAATTTTTGGAACAGTTTTCAGGTTTTTGAATTTTCGAAATTCAATTTTCATTTAATTATTTTCAATTCAATAAATTTTTGATTAAAAGTATTCAAATTTTATTTATTGATTTTATTAATTGAGATTTATATTATAATATAGAGTTTTTTCAATTTGAAGTTATATTGATCGAATTAAAAACAATTGAATTATTTTAATGTTGGTTTGAGAGAGATACGGAAGACGTGGTTCTCACTATGTGTAGGCCCCTAAATGTCTATTTGTATTTAATCTAAGGAACTAGCTAAATGAGGGAAATAGTAGGCCTTATATAGGTACTACTGAAAGAGCTAATCTCTTTCGCTTTCGCCTAATAACCTTAATACAGTTGCCTTTGTATTGAAGTGAATCCTTTGAAGTGAATTCCTTTGAATGAATTCCTTTGTCCATACATTTGAAACTCTCTTTTATAGCTTTAAATATAATAGTAGAAAAAAAATTCATAAAATTATAAATATTCTCTATTTACTAATTAAAGTCCCTGATCTCTTATTAATAGAATCAATTCCTTTCTTCTTTTAATCCTATTCCACTCACTTCATTATCTTGATATCAATCTTATTTGTATTAATTAAATCAGCAAAAGCTTAACACAGTTTTCCTTTTATTATTACATCAATTGGATTAATTGAATTATCAATCCAGATTACTTCAACAATCTCTTTTTACTTATAGAATTGATATAATACTATAATATCGATTATTAGTCTTTTTTCACTAATTATTCTTAATTTTATAAATAGGTTATATAGTGATTTGGAATCAATATACAGAACTAATAGAATCTCCTTATTAAGAATAATACTAATTATAGAAATAATTGTTATATCAATATCGAATCCCTAAACTAATTTGTATAGTTTGAATACTAAAATACTATATATGACTTTTTTGTATTTAATAAATGATTAATAAATAATATTAGTATTATTATCACAATCAATCCGTGTAAGAGCTGGCGAGGGCATATAAGTAGTCCCTGCGGGGCTACTTCAGGCCGATACCAACCCACACACAATTATAAATTGTAGAATTTTTATAGTTTAGAAGGATTAATGAAAAGTCTTTGTATTATATTATACCTAATTGATTTATTACTATTATCTACTCTAACAATTCTTTTCATTCCCCTATATAAAACAATCTGTTAACTATTTCTTAATCGAGCAATTATCGATACCATTATAGTTTCAACAAAAAAAACACTTATTTCAAAAAGAAAGCGGAATACCTACAATACAATTCAAGACCAATCTAATGAAACTATTAATCAATTCCTATAAAGTATCGATAGCAATGCCTATTCGGCTTAATTGTATCCCCCTGGTAATAACGAGAATATATTATTGGTCTAATAACTTAAAGAAATAAAAAAAGAAATAGCAGTTATAAAAAAGATTTATAGAATAGCTATAGACTGCATCTTATATATAATCACTCCAGTTGAGTATAACCAACCCGCAGCCGTACCGAATGCAACCCATCAGAATACTAACCTTAATTAGAGAAAACCATTGAAGTTGCAGAGATTGAAACAATATAAAGAAAAGAATATCGAGAAAGCTAAAAACTTCTTCTTCCAGATAGAAATCATATTTTGAAGTGACGGTGGGTACCATTTTTCTATCGATACTAAGAAAATAGAATATATCATCCAATACTTTAAACGGTAGCCCCTGGTGATTTGGTGTTGGTATATAAGCAAGTCAAGTTACAAAGAAATAAATTAAGAAAACTTTAGAAAATATATATATAATACTATTATAAATAAAGGAACTAGATAGCAACAAGCAATTCAAAAGATTATATATACAAAACAAAAAGAAGGAAAAACTGTAAATGTATTTGTAATCTATCTAAAAGACTTTAAAGAAAATATCGAACAAAAAGCAAAAAATATTCAGGTCGAAAGACTCTTAACAGATCTATTATCCAGTATAACCAGGAAAATATCGGAATCCCTATAACAATCTGAGTTGTGCAATAAATTTATAAAACAAGCCTGTAAACTAGAAAGTGTAAAGAAATTATTTTAAGAAAAAGATATAAAGAATTCATATCAATTCTATAAGTATAACCAATTATTCTTTCAATATCAAAATCCATCTAAATACTTCTACCTAAAAAACAATCCAACTCTAACTATTAAAACAAAGGTTTAAAAATCAAATTAACCCTTTCAAAAAGAATCCTTTAAGATATCAAAACACCTTGCTAATATATTATATATAGAGTGTATACAAATTGCTATATACTATAAATACCAATAAAAAGAGCACATTACTTTAAACTATCAGAACGACTTTATATATAAATATTATAAAAAAAGATATAAAAAAAACGAATACTAAAATAATTCCTTTAAAACTATTTACACAAAAAATACTTAGATTCAGTAATTATAATGAATATCCTATTAATATTAGATTTATATAAAAAAGAATAAATAATCTTTACAATTATAGTAATCTTTAATAATAACAATAAGTCAATAATGCTTTGATGTCTTATCAATTTGGAAATATAAGTCAATATTATATAACAAAATAAGTATATCGAATAGAACTAAATCCCTATCAAGAAAAGCATTTCTCTTATATTAATAAATAATACTATAATTGTATTGTATAAAGATTATAAATTTCCTATTGAAATGAAAAATGAAAAAAGGGAAAAGAGAATCTACATTCATAGCTTCACATTAGCAATACTAAACCTACTACGGATAAATACTATTCTAGATTTCTTGTGGTTATAAACAATTAATCCTGATATTAATTGGAAATTGATGTTACTTCAATACCACCCCATCTTGAGTAATCTCGAGATTATTTCTATAAAAGAATTTTATCAGAAAATAAAGAAAAGCAAAGTAATCTTTGTGATCTTTTTAAACAAAATAATCTTGTAATTAAAAATAAAAGGAGACTGTCTAATATTCACATTGACTTTATATAAAATATTAAAAGAATTTTAAAAGTATAAAAAGACTTTTTTGAAAGACGAAAATAGCCTTTTATTCAAATATTATTCGATGGAGTATTATATTAATCTCGAATCCAATTCAATTCCCCCTTAGAACCCAATTTATTTCTTATCAAAGAAAGAGTTAGTAATATTATAAAAGTACCTAAATAAATATTAAAGAAAAGGGTGGATAAGAAGGTCTATCAGCTTAATAAAGGTGTTTATTATATTTATTTCAAAAAAAGAAAAAGGCCATTGATTATATATTAATTATCAAAGATTTAACCAGATTATTAGAAAGAATTGAATCCCCCTACCTCTTATCAATAAATCCCTAAACCAACTCCGATAAGATATTATATTCACCAAGCTAGATTTATAGAATATTTATTATCGAATTTGTATAAAAATAAAAGATAAATGAAAAACTGTATTTTGCATACAATATAACCAATACGAATATAAGATAATGCCTTTTAACCTTATCAATGCCTTTACAACATTTTAAACATATATCAATCAAACCTTGTCCAACTTGACAAATAACATCTGTATAATATATCTTAATGATATTCTGATTTACTCAAAAAATAAAGCTATACATACAACGGATATCCGAAAAGTCCTCGCACGACTCATCGAATACAAGCTCTACACAAAATTAAAGAAATACATCTTTTATATCAATAAAATAAAATTCCTAAAATACATCGTTTCACCTACAGGCATTACTATGAAACCAGGCTATATTTAGATTATAGTGGAATAGCTAATACCCAATAGCCTTAGAGATATACAAATGTTTTTTGGTTTCACGAACTTTTACCGATGGTTTATTAGGGTCTATTCAGCAATAGCTCACAGTATAACCACATTATTAAAGAAAACAAAAAAAGGAAAGATAATAATCGAATTCAAATAAACTAATAAAATACAAAAAACATTTGAAGTATTAAAGAAAATCTTTATATCAATATTTATTTTTTGGTATTTTGATCCCTTACTCCATATAATAATTAAAACCAATATATCGATCTTTGCTTTAGGTTATATATTGTTATAGCTCTTTTTAAAAGGAATTAAAGAGACATTGATCCAATAATAGCATCTCATTACATTCTATTCGAGGAAACTGAGTTTAGTAGAGTAATGATATTTCACTTATAATTAAAAATTACTAGCAATATATACCGTTTTCGTACAGTAGCGCTACTATGCGATAGAGAGTCGATATACTATCGTG